ACCAGTATACAGAGGAGTTCAGGTGTGTGAAGGTCAGGACACAGCTGTTCCTCACAGGGAGCTAAGACAGGGTAGTTAGTAACGTGGTCTCAAATCCCACCAGAGGGAGGAAAGTTTCTTTATATGATTTAAATGTTTGTAACGCTCAGTGTTTGTGTGTTTGTGTCTCAGACAGCCTTCTCAGATTTCCTCAGCGGGAGTTCCAAAGACCTCGCCAAGCACATCAAAGTGGTGGTGAGAAGAAGAGTTCAAAAACACCATCATCTTTCTTTTATGTATACATAAGTCTGTTTACATGTATAAAACTGTTTCCTCTCCTCAGTGTGACGGGACAGATCTGACTGCCAAAGTCCAGGAGATGAAGCTTCAGTGTCTCCTCTTCCTCAACATCCCCAGGTATGCCGAGGCAGGGCCAAAACAAGCTATGGCCTTAAAAACTAAATTTTCCAACTTTATTCTTTAAGTTAAGTTATATCACATGACGATGCTCCGTACAGGTGTACCAGTACAGGTGAATCCGTACCGATGTATCAGTTCAGGTGCATCAGTTGCAGGTGTATCAGTACAGGTGAATCCGTACAGGTGTATCAGTACAGGTGAATCCGTACCGATGTATCAGTACAGGTGTATCAGTAACAGGTGAATCACTACAGGTGAATCAGTAACAGGTGAATCAGTACAGGTGAATCAGTACAGGTGAATCAGTACAGGTGTATTAGAAACAGGTATATCAGTTACAGGTGTATCAGTACAGGTGTATCAGTAACAGATGAGTGTCTTGCAGGTACTGTGCTGGCACGACGCCGTGGGGTCATCCTAGTGAGCACCAGGACTTTGAACCTCAGCGCCATGACGACGGCTGCATTGAGGTCATCGGATTCACCATGACCAGTCTGGTGAGCTCTGTCTGTGTGGTCACCTGTGTTTTACCTGTGTTCACCTGTGTTAAGCTTTATTTACTTATTAAACTTTGGAATTCACTGCTTTACATTTACTACCTGCTTTACCTGTAGTTTGCCTGTCACCTGTGTTTATCTGTGCTTACCTGTGTAATACAAGTGTATTTACTGTTTTCTTTTTAGTTTTACCAATGTGTTACCTGCGTCTTACCTGTTTTTACGTTTTTCTCATTGTGTATGACCAGTTTATGCCCTGAGGTCATTGTTTACCTGTGTGTTTATTGTATCTAGGCCACGCTGCAGGTGGGAGGTCACGGCGAGCGTCTCCATCAGTGTAAAGAGGTGACCCTCACCACCTTTAAGTCCATCCCCATGCAGGTGGACGGGGAGCCGTGTAAACTGGCCCCCTCCATCATCAACATCAACCTGAGGAACCAAGCCAACATGGTGCAGAAGGCCAAGAGGAGGATCTCCATGCCTCACCTGAACGAGTACGAACACTTTAATAAAATAACAAAGATACTGATTATTATAGTAAACATATCTACATGCCCCACTTTAAAGGTCACATATCCTCCTCCTCTTCATCCAGTGTAAATAAGTCTCAGAGCTCCTCAAAACATGTGTGTGAAGTTTCTTGTTCTAAATCCACTCTGATCCTGTATTTGATCATGCCTATAAACCCCTCTATTTCAGCCCTGCTCAGAACAGGCTGTTTCTGTGTTTGTACCTTTAAATGTAAATGAGCTGTGTCTGACCACGCCCCCTCTCTGGAAGGGCTTGGGTGTCTCGGTCTTTCTCGCTTCATGTCCTATTGTTTACGGTGAGAAGGCAAACTCAGAGGGCAGAACAAACACCTAGCTGTGGGAGTGTCACCCATCTGGGGGAGGGGTTACTGCCCTTTGTGATGTCATGAAGGGAAATGTTCCAAACGGCCTGTTTGAGCACACATTTTCTGAAAAGTGGAGCAGGCAGAAGACAGAGAGGATGGACTTTTCTTATAATTGGGGGGTTTGTAGACAGACTACAGACACATATTAGAGTTAGAGAAACATGGTGAAGTGGATTTTCGAGAATATGAGACCTTTAACGAGTATATATACTGTATTATTATAACAGAGATACTGAATATTATGGTAAACATATCTCCATGCCTTGCCTCATGAGTACTAATACTGTTGGGATATTCTTTACCTCCTTTGTGTGTGTGTGTGTGTGTGTGTGTGTGTGTGCAGCCAGCAGCCCGTCCCTGAGAAGCTGCAGATCAGAGTGAACAGGATCAGCATGGCGGCGTATGAAGCTCTGCACTACGACAAAGACCAGCTGAAAGAGGCCTGTGAGTCAGCAAAGGGTTAACTGTCACATTTATATGTATACGAACTACAACTTTTATTTTCTCATGTAAATACAAAATGATTCGATACAAACCAAAGTTTATTCGGGTGAAGATTTTAGATATTTCCATTTCATAACCTCAGAAAACTTTATTAATCCCAGAGTGCAATTTGTTTTTTACAGTCTTCCCGTACATATGAACATTCACAAACAAACAGCAGAGTGTTTCAGAGACACTTACATTAGGACGTTGATAGAGATGCTCACTGGAACTCTAGCATCCTCGTGTGGCCTCATAGGTAATGACACACTCGAGGGCCGGGCAAGGTTCAACTACACAGTTAAAATGAAAAGAATAAGAATAATAAGAAATTCAACTAATAATAATACATTTTATTTAAAGATGCCTTTCAAAACACTCAAGGTCACCTTACAAAGCAGAGATAAAAACAACAAATTAACAACACATTGATAAAAAGAACATCAAAAAGACACATTTACAGGATGTAGAGGAGACCTGATGGAGAATAGTCAGACTCAATATTTCCATTTAAAAAGATGTATTTTGAGATGTGATTTAAAAATGGAGAGAGAGTCAGTATTACGCATGTGTGGTGGGAGGGAGTTCCAGAGGCGGGGGAGGGGCAGAGCGACTGAAGGCCCTGGACCCAGAGAGGTAAAGCAGAGCGAGGTTGTGGGCGGCCTTAAAGGTAGGGAGCACCATTTTGAAGTTGATGCAATATTTAACCGGGAGCCGATGAAGCTGCTAAAGGACAGGAGTGATGTATTGAACAGAGAAGGTTCTGGATAAATAAGGCCTGGACTCTTTACTCAGCAGCCTCTACCATAATTGTGTGAATGTGTATGAATGGATGAGTTAATACTGATGGACTCTTTACACAGCAGCCTCTACCATCAGTGTGTGCATGTGTATGAATGGATGAGTTAATACTGATGGAGTCTTTACTCAGCAGCCTCTACCATCAGTATGTGAATTTGTAGGTGTGACCTGCGGTGTAAAAGCGCTTTGAGTAATCAGAAGTCTAGAAAAGTGTGAAACAAACTCAAGTCCATTTACCATTAAACACTCATGCAGGACGAATAGAAAAATATTTAAAGAAAACGTACGGGACACTTGTTTTTTTGTGACGTGGTCTTTTTCTTTCTGCAGCAACACCGCTTGGTGTGATCACCGTCCCTGGAGACAGCGACCTGGAGACCTGCCGCTTACTGATCGAACGTCTCCATGACGACCTGGACCAGGTACCTTAAAATATTTATTTGAATGTGGAACACATTTTAAAGACACTGATGAAAGAATCAGTACAGCCTCAGTCCTGTTTGTCAGACTGGTAGAGACTGCAGCAGAAGGTTCAGTCACTTGTCGTGTTTCTCTCCGCTCCTTCAGGACGGCGAGGAGATAAAGGGAGAGTGTGTGACCTCTCAGAGACTCTCCATGAAGTGGTGTTTCCTCGACTGTGAGTCCAGACTAACACACACACACACACACACACACACACACACACACACTAACACGTTCAAACACTAAAACCTGATCTGTATGTTTTTAATTTCAGGTACGACTGCAGACCGTTTCTACAGGATCGACCGTGCTCAGGTGAGACAGCATTACAAGATACTCCTCTACACCTGGATGAAAAAACACAGAAACTAAAAGGATGCAAAAATGTTTTTATTAATCAAAATGATCTGATTTTATGTATTTCTTTTATTTTTCATTCATATGCAGTAATGTGGCCCAAACACACAGACTGTGTACTAAAGTCATGAAGACATATCTCAAGTTGACTTTAGCAGGAAACTTTTATACTGAAACTGCAAGTTATTCCCCAGAAAAGAGAATTCATTTTCAGATAACTTACTGAAATCAAAGTAACTGCACATTTTCCTGCTGATTGATGACATGATAAGTCGCCATGTCGTTCTCCTCCTAGTGTTGTAGTTCTCGAAATCTGTCTCCAGACCGGTCTCGAGACCACTTTCTGAAGGTCTCGTCTCAGAATTGAAAGCATTTTTAATCAGTCTTATCTCCGTCTCAGCCTGGGCGGACTCCAGATTTTAAATCAAGAACACCACTGAAGGACACGCCCCCTAAACACAAGATGATGATTTTTCACTGATATTTATGGTCTTGGTCTTGACTCGGTCTCCCCCTGCCTTGGTCTTGGTCTTGTCTCGGTCTCCCCCTGCCTTGGTCTTGGTCTTGACTCGGTCTTGCCCTGCCTTGGTCTTGGTCTTGGTCTTGACTCTGTCTCGCCCTGCCTTGGTCTTGTCTCGGTATTGCCCTGCCTTGGTCCTGGTCTTGACTCGGTCTCGCCCTGCCTTGATCTTGGTCTTGACTCGGTCTTGCCCTGCCTTGGTCTTGGTCTTGGTATTGTCTCGGTCTCACCCTGCCTTGGTCTTGGTCTTGGTCTTGACTCGGTCTCGCCCTGCCTTGGTCTTGGTCTTGACTCGGTCTCGTCCTGCCTTGGTCTTGGTCTTGTCTCGCCCTGCCTTGGTCTTGTCTTGGTCTCGCCCTGCCTTGGTCTTGTCTTGGTCTCGCCCTGCCTTGGTCTTGGTCTTGACTCGGTCTCACCCTGCCTTGGTCTTGGTCTTGACTCAGTCTCGCCCTGCCTTGGTCTTGGTCTTGACTCGGTCTCGCCCTGCATTGGTCTTGGTCTTGACTCAGTCTCGCCATGCCTTGGTCTTGGTCTTGACTCAGTCTCGCCCTGCCTTGGTCTTGTCTCGGTCTTGGAGCACTCTGGTCTCGGGAAAGTCTTGGTCTCGGTTAGTGTTGCCATGACTACAACACTATCTCCCCGTCCTCTGCTACAGGAACACTTGAACTACGTGACGGAGATCTCTCAAGACGAGCTCTACATCCTGGACCCGGAGCTGGTCGCCAAGGAGACGGTGGGCACGTCCCCTGGGATGCCCGACCTGGTGGACTCTGAGGGACACCAAGAGCAGCAGAGACAGTTTGCCTTCCCCTGCTCCCCGTCCTCCCCCACCTCCTCCACCACGCCCACCACGTCGACCACGCCCAGGTGAGAACCAATTTTAACTCGCAATTTGTTTATTTAAGATGTTCATTTATCCAAATAGGGATATTAAATATCCCAAAGGTTTTAAAATAGAAATAAACGTAAGGACTCTTTAGACAGAGTGTTTGGGCCAGTCCAATAAAAATGAGAAAAATTTGATGATGATGTAATGTAATAATCTCATAGAACATCTGAGTTATTTTTGTAAATTCTCTTCTTTTATTTGCTGTGTTCTCTTCATTTCACGATTTTATGACGTCCAAACATCGAAGTTTTATTTCTCGTAAACTAACAATTTTAGATTTTGTAAACTTCTGAGTTTCTGTTCTCCTAAATTTACATTTCTAAAATCTCAATATTCTCAAATTTTGTTTCTTGTAAATGTATTGTTTACTGACGCAAAATTTTGGAGTTCTGCTTTGAGCAAACATTTATTTTGCTCCAACACGGGCTTTCCCAACATTGGGGTCACGAATTCAAATGTGTATTTATGGATCAATAAATAATATATTCTCTTTTAAAATATATTGGACACAGGCTAATGTGGGCCAGAGCCAAGACAAGAAACGTGCAGAGTCTCTGCCTGTCTATGGTTTGTTGTGCAGAAATGTCCTCCCAGCCTCTCTTCCTCTGTCCACAATAATAAACACCAAAAAGATTTCACTTCCAACACAGCAGAAAAACTATTACAAGTTATTGTAATTATTTAGCAAAAAGCTTCATGTCGTTTTGGATGACTGGGGTCGCCAGAGTTTTGTGAAGTCAAAGTGGGATCAGGAGCCGAAAAAGGTCAGGAACCTCTGCTCTAACACTTTTACTTTGAAAAGCAAAAAGTTACCTGATTAATATTTGTAACTTCAAACTCAGCAGAAAGAGTTTTCTATTCCTTAAGAGTCTCTTTAAAGTAACTTCTATGTCTCGTTCATAGACAAATTTCAGACAATCTGTGCAGATAAATCAGGAAAAATCATCACTCCCTGTCCTTCCTCAGTAAACTCAGTGTACAGTAAACGATGGGAGCATCAGTGTGTTTCATGTGAGCTGAGCGTATGAAGGTACATATGTTGCAAAATAGGAGAGCTTGTAGAATGTGATGTGAGAACTTGAAGGAACAAAAAGTGAACTTGTATAAAAAATCCACACGCATTAAACAAGTAAACATTTTAAAATAAAAGTTCACTTTTTTTCCTTCAAGTTCTCACATCACATTCTACAAGCTCTCTTATTTTGCAACATATCTCTCTTGCCCCCTGCTGGATAGAACAGATACTGCAGCAGCTGCTTCTGAGGAAACTGCCAAAAGAATTACAGAAAATAAGAGAATCTCTCCCGTTTGAAGAGCTGCAGGTCAGAAAAACAACGTGTGTGTGTGTTTCAGAGTGAGAGAGTTTCAGAGGAAGAGGATCTCCAGTGACAGCTCTGTGGCCGACGCTCTGTCTGAGAGCTCCTCAAAGACTGCCCTCTGCAGGTAAAACACACACACACACACACACACACACACACACACACACACACACACACACACACACACACACACACGCATAACAACACACACACACAGGCGTGGACACTATCAACCTACACTAATATCAACCTACACACCGTCCAAGAGGGGCCCTTTAAAAACGTCACCTGTTTGCTGGCAGGTCCCCTGTTAGATAGGTATACAAGTGCACTCACGCACGCACAGGCACACACTACTCTTCGTGATTTGCAGGTTTATTAATAATTTTTAC